CTCTCTCAGCTTTCAGGGGCTTTGGGAAATGGGGGCAACCAGGCAGACACAGCAAGACCCCACAGCTACCGCACAGACACAGCCTAAATCACAGTTTTCGCAATCAGTAACACCTCACACCTGTATTTTCCTCTGCAGAGTGGTGATCTGCACCATTAGCTCCATTCCAGAGGGGAAAGGAAGGCTGCGCTTCCGCTGGAAGCGGCCATAGCCCGTGAACAGGAGACAGAAGGAATGCGGCAACCCCGTGTGTGCCATCTGCCCCAAAAACTCAACAGGGGCAAGCGGCATGACGCAAAACTTCGCTTCTTGTGCAAGTGCTGCAAAAGAATCATCAGCCAGAAAAGGTCTGAGTTTTTGCCTTGGAGTTCAAAAGAAGATGGGATTAATTAGTCCTAAGTAATAGTGCTTAAACTCTGCACACTGTGGGGCTTCAAGCAAGGGAGCACATAAAAAAAAAAAAAAAAGCAAAGTCCAGGATCAGATTCAGTGCTATAATAAGCCTGTTTGTTTTAATAGCAGTTAAAAGTATAAACCTAAGAAAAAAGCAATGAATGTGAATTAAAATCATGAAAGGAATGGAATGGAGGAAGAGAAGGAAGACTGGTCGGGTTTTATTAGTAAGATGGACCCACTGCTTTCATTATTCAGGGAACGTAGTTTCACGTATTTGTACGTGAGTCTTTGAATAGAAAATCCTTTCTGTACTAAAAAAAAGAAAAAAATTAACTGACATGGTTTTCCATGACCACTTTTCATCTCAACGTGCTGCGAAAAAATTTGTTTATCAGGGACATTCATAGGAAGCTGCTGTGTGGAAGAGCAAGACCATTCCAGCCACGTCTGCGCAGCGCGTCCAGCAACAACAGGTACAGATGAACCAAGGAGCTGCCATCACGCAGTGCCCTCAGCCCAGAGACTGCTGTAACGCAGCCCATTTCCCTCAGCGATTCACATTGCAAACTTTCTGAAAATCACTGTGCTCTCCCTGCATAAACACCGACCAGAAAAGGAATGGACAGAACAAATATTTAATTTTCCTCTCCAGCATGTTATGCAGTATTTCCAAGCTACTAAAGATAATTCTTTACCAAATTCAGTAAATTTGATTCCCATGCTTTAGCTCTGACTCATTTTTCTCTCTAATCAATTCCTAATTATTATCCACTTCCTCAGAGGGTTTATGGGGACAGACACTGCAGTACCATGACTACTAAACAAAACCATGAAAATTGGAGGAAAACTTTCCAGAAAATGCAGATTAAATAGATGAGCTGCTCTGGCAGCTTTCTTCCTCACTTGCTCTGTCCAATCAGTCGAATTACATATGCACTGGTTTTAGCAGTAATTTTGTGCAAGAAATAACACTTAACAAATCAAGTTACTGCACATTCAGAGAGTAATAGTGCAAAGAGACTAAACTAGATTAATTCCTGGGGCCCGGTGGGTCCAGCCCTGACTTCCCAGCATCTTGCACAAGTGAATGGAGTTTGGAGGTTGAGGGGAACAAAACAGATGGGGCGTGTCAGACACCTGTACAGCACAGCTGGACACACAGCGTAGGATGTACAGACGTACAGCGTACACACATTAAGAATGTAAAATCAGCAAAGCTTTCTGCTACGTGTTTCTATACAGTCGAGAATGACGATGCCCTTCACATTATGAGCAACGCCACCAACCCCTTCGCCTCCAGATAACTTTATCCATTGCTGGCTGAATTTTGGGATCCGGATGGGAGGTTGCCAGGCTGAGGTTTGCATCCTGAAGTCGAGGGGACAGCAAGATGAGGCAGACCTTTAGCCATCACTTCTCTGCCTGGCTCCTTCCTGCCTCTTAGGGACGTTTCTGCCTCTCGGCGTGAAGAAAACCTCCCAACAGCTCGCTGACATTTAACTTCAAAGTCTGACTTAATGTCAGCGCAGGGTGTGTAAGTTTGGTTTCTTTTCACCGACAGTCATCAGCAGTGCTAATGGGGAGGGAGTTAGAGCAAAGGGGGGGGGGAAACTGAGTAAAGGGTGCCAAGTCACATCCTTATTTTCCATCTGGAAGAGGAAACAGTGCGAAATAATACGGGAATTTTGGAACAGCAGGA